AGCTCTTTAAGAGAAAATTCAATTTCGAACTCTGTCCTGCCCTCCCTCAGTAGAATTATGCCATTTTGTAGCAGCTTAAACATCTCTTTACAGCTGGCATGCGTTATTGGGGTGTCTAATGCATATCTAATTACAAACATAGTGCAGGTGTATAGTGAAAATCATTAATCGAACTTTTTTATAATTAGCAGTGGCATGGCATAGTGATAGTAAAAACATATAAAATTTAAATTGCAATAACTCTTGAACAAGCAAACTCACACAAATAAAATTATATTCTCGGGTTCATTTTAGCATACTCTTTAAAGTAACAATGTCTTTTTTTTTATTTATTTTATTGTTTGAAGCATAGCGGAGGGCTCAGTTTTCATATAAAAATGTTATTTTTGATATTTTTTTAATAAAAACATCAAAAATATCTTCTCATATTGTATTATGCAATAGTGATCGACAATAGATTTAAGGTCACGTTTTTGATGTTTTATTAATAAATATATTAAAAACAGCATTTTTGTATGAAAACTGAGCCCTCCACTATGCTTCAAAAAATAAAATAACCAAAAAAAAGGTGTTGTTACTTTAAAGAGTACACTAAAATGAAATCCGAAAATATAATTTTATTTGTGTAGATCTGCTTGTTCAAGAGTTATTGCAATTTAAATTTTATATGTTTTTACTATTTACGTTATCACTATGCCACTGCTAATTATAAAAAAATCGATTAATGATTTTTACTATATCACTTGCACTATGTTTGTAAATTGATATGCAATAGACACTCCGATGCGTTATGTGGGTGGGAACCACTAGCTAAAATCATGTGACTTCAAAACTTCAAGCTAACAGCCGTCTTGCATTTATGCGTGTGAAAAACCACCGGCTAATTCCAACTATACATTAAATGCACTAATGCATGCTATAAATCTCTTTCAATTATACATCAAACATACAAATATATGCTATATATCTCTTCAACTATACATCAAACGCACTGATGTATGATGTATACTATAACTCCCTAATAAAGTTTGAATATCTGGTGCTATTAATACTGGGATGTATACACAAATTTATAATATCAGTCTGTCCTCTGCTTAGATTCTTTGTTCCTGGTTTCATGCAACAACATCGCACAGCTATCTAGTTTGTTACATTATTTACTGGTATATATATATATATCGATATGTAATTGATTGATAATCTTTACTATAATAAAAATTTGCTCTGTTTGCATGATTACGAATAGAGAATTTTTATTGGCTAATATATTAAAAAAATTAAAATTTCAAAACCTCACCTTACTGACCCAGCCAGGATATGAAAACCAATAGTATAAGTTTGTATGGCCTAAGTATAATTTATTTTAATAATTTTTTTTTTAATAAGCAGTTCTACCAAATTTTTATTAAATTAAAAACTATATATATATTATATAATGTTTTCTAGCTAAGTCTATTAACTCATTCTATTTACAATAATATATCTAGCTACTTTTATACTTAGATACAACTGCTACAGCAATTATTTTTCTCTTTTTTAGCTCCCAACTCATTAAAAGTTAACTTTCTAAATTTATAAATAGTAGTTGCTAATTTTAAACAATTTATATATATTCTACTTATATATTTTATCTATACAAATCTAACTAGTTATATCTAATTCTTTACTATTTAAAGCATTGCTTATAATTGCTTTTCGTATCACTTCAAAATTAATATCTTGTTTTGGATAAATACTCTTATTTGAAGAATATTACTTTATTATCTAATTCATATTTTAAGCCAAGTGCTACTGTTATTTAAAAACTCATATTTTAAGCTATCTGCTACTACTATTAGAGATTCTATTTTATATTCCAGATATTCATAAAATATAATCTATAAATATGGTATTACAAGAGTCTAGATTCTTAAACAGAAATTAAATATCTTATTTAGTTATTGCTATAATACAGTAACACAAAATCTTGTAGTAAAATTTTGCTATAGTCATATATTAAAATTAGATGATTTATATATTTATTGTAAGATTGTGACTAATATAAGTAAAATTTATGTCTGCAAAGTACAAGAAGCAAATTTAGAGTATAAGATACAAAGCAGCAATCCAAAATTAAATGTTCAACTTGACACAGAAAATCTGCAAGTAGGGAGCAGAATGGGTCGGGTTGAGCCAGGCTTTCATAAGCCCAAAACCAAGCCCAGAAAATATTTACATACCCAAGCCCGGCCTGCTAAAAAAAAAAGCCCGTGAAGTATAGGCCGGGCCGGGTTTTAATTTTAAACTAGCCTGGCCCAATCTGGCCCATAAAGAACTATCAAATCATTGTGCGTTAAATGCAATAAAACGTGAAATTTGGCACTTAAACTTCACGATATTGTATCACATAGCACTATATTTATGAGATTTGTTTAACCATAATGAACGTTCAACTTGTATTTTTTATTGCTTTAACAGGTTAAAGTCATAGCTTCAGATTAAGCTATAGTTATTGAAACCATGACTTGTATCATGGCTAAAGCATGACTTGGGCTATACTCAAAATGTGGTAAATTACTGTACTGATACAGTACTGCAGTAGCATTGCATAAATATTATTATGTAGCTACAGTAATAATTATTGTAAGGTAATATAATATTTAAAGAAGCTATACAAGCATTAACATCTTTAAAAATCTTTAATAGGCTAAAATTGGTCTACAAAACTCTTCATCATATAATGGGTTTTTACATGATATTTTTTCTTATTTGATCAATTGAATATTATCAATCAATATATTAATTAATTTCTTGTTAAATTTTTGTCTGTATTGATTGAAATTCTCTCAAGCACGTAATTAATATGCTAAAGCTCGACTTCTAATTTGTGAAAAGTGGTTTATCGGTAAGTAGATTCATTATCTTGATAAAAAAAAAATTTGAAACTACCTTTTTTTGTCAAAGACTTGTTCTGATTGGCTAAAATTTATTATCCGCATTTTGAGATATGAATCTTTAGAAAAATTACAGTAAGAAATGCTTCAATTAATTGTAATGCATTCTGCATGATCTTGGTAGCTAGCTAATCACATTGAGAGCACCATTAGTCTTTAGGTTTGGCGATTATTTATTTGTTTGTTTGATTTAAGTATTTAATATGAGCTGTTTTACTCACATTTAGCTTCTTATCCACATTAGTCTGTATAATTATCATCTGCGAAGAACATTTCTAATCATACAGATTAGCATGACCAGATCTGTACGGCATGGGTATAAAATACCCCTATACTTAATATCTATTCCAGATATGATATGTTTCTTAAAGAGGTATTTTATACTCTATACTATATACATCTAAAATCTTATGAAATTTTTTGTTTGTTTAAATTATAGTGTCTCATATCAATATAGTTATGCTGTATTTAGTTGTATACCTGATATTTATTTTATCTGAATTCAAACTAATATATAACTTCTGTATTGGTAGCAATATTAACTATAAAGTTACCAGGTATTATTGGGCCTATATGGGCTTTTTTATCAGGCCCAAACCCGGCCCAGTATTTTTAGTGGGCCTGGCTCAAGCCCGGCCCAAATTGTAATAAGCTCAAAAATATGGGCCCAAGCCCGGCACAGCTCACAAATTTCCAGGTTTAGCCCGGCCCATTCCGGACCCTAGTTACAAATTCATCATTCAAAATGCAGATTTTAACTTTTAACTAATTAGAGCCTTTCTATTAAATATAGATGATCATAATTTCAGGTTTTTTTTTATTTAAATAATGCTTGGATTATTTGTTAAGCCCATAAGGGAGATATTGAAAATGCTTTTTATTAGTAACCAAAAAGATAGACCAGATTCAAGATCCGGTACTACACACTTCTATGACAATCATTTCACTGAAAGTTTACTTAACCAACATTATATAGAATTAGAATTTATACTTGATTAGTTGTAGATATATTGTAAATAAATTGTTGCTTGAAATAGTGTCGGCTAGATAAGCCATCAAGTAAAATAACTTACTAGTCGATATTTTAGAGTAATTAATTGATAAGTCGTGAATAGTGATACCACCGAAATTGATTTTCAAAAAAGGCCTATTTTGCCTCCATTAGAGCAAATTAAAATTTTTTATAAGAAAGAACAAATAAAATTTATATATTTATACTCCTTATAATTTTGTCTATTCAAAAAAAGTGTCAAAAAATTTTGTCTTTTAAGTAAAATAGATCAAAAACAATTTTGTCTTCAAATTTTAATTTCGGGTTTTAGAACTCGAAATAATTTCGTCGGCATGTATAGTTGTGAATACTCATTACTTCACAATATACCTTAGTTCCATATTGAATAAGAATTGTTTATTGAATTGATCAATTTGTCATTTGTATAAAAATAAAATAAATAAAATACACAGGCAAATAAATAAACAAATCGATAAATAAATAAATAAATAAAAATTTAAATATAAAAAAAATAATAATATTTAGTATATGGCGATAGTATAAAGTAAAATAAATTTTTTTTGCTTATTCGATATAATCATTAATTGATTATGATCGACATAATTGAATTTTCTAGAACTATTCAATTGACACTCTATTACCATAATAGGTGTGATAGGCATTGTCCAAATATGGAGACGTCTAAAGCGAAGTAGATTTTTATTGTTATAATATCAATATATATTTTATCAAATTAACTTTAGGGTTAGAGTATCTTGGATTGGGGTTAGAGCAAGTTTTAAAGAGTTATATATAAGCAAAATTGCCTTCTTGACATTTTTACTTAACATACCCAAGGTAGGTTTAGACTGCTATTATTTGTATTTTTCAAGTTTTTCGCTTTTTTTTCTTGGTTTGCTTCGTTGGCGATCATCAAAATTCTATAATTTGATTGGTCGTATATCACGTGATTCTGCTCCACTTTAGACGACCCTGACTGTAATATCTCAAATTCTAATGTACATGAAAACAATAATATCGCCTTGATTTTTTAGATGATTTATGCTTCTGAGAGATCATTTCACCAAACCACTAACTTCTATGATTATATCTCGATTTTCATCACTACTTGTTCTTCAAAGAGTATATATGTTTTGAGTCATATATAGTTAGAGCAATTAGAAAAAAAAATTTTAAAACTATACCAGCCCATCACACCCATCAGAAGCCACTTTTGTTTTTTTTATCAGTCGTAAACATCCATCTACTTCTTTGCCCGTTCTTCCTGCTTTGGTGCCAGTGTTTCTTATTCATTTCATAATAATATTAGATCCACCAGAAACCATTGCTAAAACCACACGTTGTTGGGGTGGCTGATCGTCTAATAAAATTAAACATATAGTCCCATATAAATTTGCAATATTGCAGATTTTTTTTAATCGTTATTATTATGTGATATATTATTTATGCCTTTTTTTTTTTAATATATTAAATAAAGCTTTTAATTATATTTAAAAATTCAAATGATTATAACGTTTTAATTGTGCAATGAATCAGAAAATTAAACACTTCTTTTACAAAATATTTCTACTTTATATATAGTCTTACCAATTTATATAATATAATTATCTATATATACTAATCCTTAATAATCTTGGGATTCTGTAATACACTTTAAAAAATATATTAGGCCATATATATTTATCAATTTGAACTATGTATTATTAATTGAAAATTTTAATATGGTATGTAAATTTTAAGTGCGTAACTTTGCTAAGAATACAACGAAGATCGAAAGACTTAAAAATTAGAAAAAAAAATTATTAAGCGATATATAATCAAAAATATTTTACTAATTTTTTAATATAAAATTGCATCATAATTTTTTAATCAAAAAATCTATCATTATACAAAAATTAATTAGACTAGACATATGTTTGATTCTATTAGACCCCAACGCGTCGTGTTGTCTTTTATCATTATTAGAACCACGCAGAAAACGCCGCGTCGTGTTGTCTTTCATCATTATTAGAACCACATAGATTCGTTTTTATCAAAATTTTGTCTACAAAACCGTTAGACAAAAAAAGCACTACATCTTCCTGAGTCTTAAAGTGATGAACACTCGACCGAGAATTCAAGACCTCGGCAGATTTCAAAAGCCACTCAAATGCCTCTTTTTTTACCAGGTATTAAATACCAATCAAATGCCTTTGCTTCATCCCTGGCTGTGCCTATTCCTTCTTCGTAGCAGGTTCCAACTTTAAATTGACCATTAGTATTGCCACTTTTAGCAGATCTTAGATACCACTTAAATGCCTTTTTTTCGTTCTCTGCAGTGCCTATGCCTTCTTCATAGCAGGACCCAACTTTAAATTGCCCATTCGAATTGCCACCTTCAGCAGATTTCAAATACCATTCGAATGCCTTTTTTTCATCCTTGGCTGTGCCTATGCCATTTATGTAACAAGATCCCAGGTTACATTGTCCATCTGAATTGCCACCATTAGCAGATTTCAAATACCACTCAAATGTCCTTTTAAAATATATTCTTCATTCTTTCGAGACAATATAACAAAATCCAAGACCATTTTGCCCTTTTGAATTTCCATCCTCAGCAGATTTCAAATACCATTCAAACGCCTTTCTTTCATCTTTATATGTACCTGTGCTATATTGATAACACCATCCGAGATTATATTGCCCATTTGAATTGCCATCTTTAGCAGATATAAAATACTCGGTGTAATTCGAATCGTAAATATTTAACTTCATATGATTAGCCAACGCGATTGCCCGTTCATTACGATTCATCGCCGCAAGTTTTAAATATCTTATACCAGTCATCATATCTATCTTTTCACCCAATTTTCTATTTATGTATATACCATATAAATTACATTGCAACTGGATTTCCATTCTCTGCTGCTAATCTCAAGTAATGCATGAATCCTTCGCATACATCACTTGCTTTAAGCTGCTTTAATTCTTTTAATGCGAATGAATAACGTAGTTGTGCTTCTGCGATATTATCATCTGCCGCCGCTTTAAAAAGATGAAGTGCTTTATTTCGATCCTCCGGTGTTCTTTTGTATCTGTATAAAATCCTACCCATAGATAATATCCTTGCCAAAATATTGCTTTTGAATGTCCTTTAGCTGCATTTGCTACAAAACATTTCCAAGCTAATTTCCTTTTTTGCTAGATTTCTTGTTACATGAAGGTCAATTCCTCGTGCGCATGTTCAGTAACCAGTAAAGAATCAAAGTTGGCGTGGTATTCGTGGAAAGTATATCTTTGACCACTTTCTTTCATTGATTAAAAAATTTCGTTAAGACTATTATATGATAAAGTTGAAAGAAATTAACGTGGTGTTTGAATTTTAAGATTATACTAGCTCTTTAACCCTCGGGAAAAAATAAATTTATATAATTGGTTTTCATATCGGATTGTAAAATTTTTTTTTTTATATAGTCAATCAGATATATCAGTCACACGATATGTACAGGTTAAGCCACTGATTTCAATCACCGTCCGACTATGATAAAATATTGTATTTAGTGATTTGAAAAGGCTCATTATTACGAGGTTAAAGTTGAATAGATAAAAAACGATTTGATCATATTTGGCTATACTTTATTATTTGCGATTTATAAATTAAAAATTTTTTTTTTATCTAACATAAGTAAAGTACAGTATATAAATTAAAATCCTTATCGACCTATAATATGACTTAAAAGAGAACCAATCCAATTTTTTAATAAAGTTCATAAAAAAAAATTTTGAATATATTTTTTAAAAAAAAAAGAATTAAGAAAATGGATGAGAATGATATTTACGGCATCACTTAATTTTTTAGTTATTAATTCAAACTGTCAAAATATTAGCCAACATTACGAACCGTATTAGATAAATTTAAAGATCAGTATAATGTAACAAAATTAAAATCCAAATATTTTTCTTTATGAAAAAATATGAGTTCACAAATAAATAATGGGAATTTAGCTCTTCGAGTTATCTTCATTCGAGTTAAGTAAAAAAAGTATCATTTAAGCAAGAATGAGTTGAACAATTAGCATGGTCAAAGAAATGACATATATAATATACTATAGGAATATTAATTTTAAAATTCAAAGTTTTTATTTTTTTATATAAATATTTGGTTGGTTAACGTTAATATCAAAAGGCAACTTTTAAATTTATACTTAAGTTTTTAAATTATAACTACAGGTATTTTTTTTTAATAGTCAAGTCCTATGCTGGAAATATAGTCAGGCTGTGATTAAAATTAGTGGCTTAACCTGTCACAAATTACTACATATCTGATCAAATTTTATTATCATACACGAGTGCAGACAGATAGACATTACGCGATTCGGAAAAACTTTTCTGCTACGTACCAATAATAATACTGTAATAATAATTATTATTGGTTTGCTATAAACTGCAACTGTACAAGCGATCCAATACAGCAATACGTACGTACGTACGTACTAAACCTAAGAAATTTCTACATAACAGACAACATAGATGAAAATCGATAAAATGGCGTATGATTTGATTTGTAAGTGAAAGGTGAGTATTAATATGTAGTTTTACTAAAATGTAATTATGATAAACGATGTTATAGAGATCTTCGAACTCTATCGTACAAATCAATAGTTTAAATAGTCTTTTTGGTAGTATTTTTTTAGAATTGGTTAGCGGGATAAAAAAAATCAAATGAAAATTATCGTATAATACTATAATACATTAATACTATTGTAGTTGAGATCGATTCAATTTACACTAACAAATATTTACGGAAATTGAATCTATTAATGGTATTACCGGAACTATCGTTACCCCGACAGAATCATAAACACTGAAACTTTGATAAAAATTGTGTATGTAAAAACTAATTAATATTTTAGAATGAATTTTTAAATAATTCCGTTAAAAGTATTTTATCACAGAAATTCTAACAAGAAGATGGTCTGATGACAAAAGATAAATGGAAAAAATTGCGTCAGATTTTCCAAATACAGTATTGCGGTTGCTTCATAGTTTAATGTGATACAACCACCTATCGCTATTTGTCTACAAAAGAAACTTTTAAAAAGTTTTAAGAATAAAATGATATAATCAACATCTGATTATAACAATAGGGAAGTGCTAACCCTGCCCATCGTGGAAAAAGTGTTAGATCATGTAGATTCTAAGATTCTATGAAGAATCAAAATTTCTAACTGAATTCGATAAAAAAAAAATTTTTTTTTTTTAAACGAATCCTAAGAGTTCACAATTCATTTTATTTAATTCAACCAGTTACGTACCATCGCTATCTGCTATATCAGATATATAAGTACATACGTACATACGTACATACGTATTTCTGTATTTAAATTACAGCATTATCAGTTATAATTGATTGATCCAAGTAACAATGTATGAACTTGACAAAACTACGTAGAATTCTCTCCAATATTAACTTCATTTCTTTTTTTAGCAATATTCGTGCATCAACTTACGCTAAACTATTTTTAACATAGTTATAATTTACATAATGCCATATTGCCTCATAGTTTGCCAAATGAAATCACACATTAAAAGTTAGTGTTGTACATTCTGATTGTCCCGTCCTGAGACGTCCGTCCCAACTTTGTCTCATAAATTTCTCAATTTTTAATTTGAAAAGTTATATTAAAGCAATAATAAAATATATATAAAATTAAAATATTAAACAATTTTGCTCAAGAATTGAAAGAAAGGTTATCTTATTAATAAAATTTTAGAATTCTATTATTTTTTTTAAAACCTTAAATTTGTCCCAAATCCGTTCTACTGTTCTATGTACAACACTGCATTAATAAAGTAATATAGTTTTTTGGTTAACCAATTCACACATTTTTTAAAGTGGTCAACCATAAAATGTATGAAATAAAGTATATATGACATGTTATATGACATGATTATTTGTATGTAGGAATCATACCATTTATTACCGCATTCATTGTTTAGAACTGTGCCTTCTTTATAATTAAATAGGATTTACCGATCAATGATTAAAGATTGACGTAAGTGGAGACTCTCAATCCAAATTTAGTTACTATATCTGGTTTTAAAAAGAATTAAATGTCGAACGTATTAATGTTTTGTACAAAAAAAATATTGTATATATACATGTGAAATGCTGGTGTCAAAAGGCGTGTTGGCAAATAACATAAATAATTCCTTCTTTAGTGTCAAAAAAAATTTCGTAATTGGTATACGAAAATAATCATATAGACTCTAACTTACCCTCTTTTGATCTTGGAAAATAGCCGTTTCATTGTTACGTTTTACGTATTTACGTATTTACGTATCGAAGTAATAATTTATATCAGATATAAATAACCTGAATTCACCAGTTATACAATTACCAGATACACGGAAATAAAAAAAAATTAAAACATCAAGACTTTGCTATTCGCAGAGCATAACAATCTTTTTTTAATTGAATTATTACCGTCATTTATTTTTTAAATGTAAGCAACTACCAGTAATTGTGTATTTTTATTTGTTGCTAATTAAAAATTAATGTAGCAAAATATTATTATTACTTCAAGATACGAACAAAAGAATCTCGCAACCATTGTTAAAGGAATGTTGACTCTTTCCCAGCATAATATTAATTCCCAACATAATATTCATAATAAATATTAATTCCCAACATAATATTCATAATATTAATAGCACATCACCAACTGTTTCTGCCGTAATGGATCTTAATGATACTAAGAGAACATCTTTGATAAAAACCTCGAATGATGATATTTCATTATCAAAAACTAATATTTCCAGTAATGAAAATTTATTAGATGATGCAACTATTGGTCACATTTTGAATATGCTTGATCAAAGTCAAGATTCAGAATCTCTTGATAATTTATTTGAAATTCCTTCGAAATTAAATTATGGCTATGACTATGCTGAAAACGTAGAAGACTGTTCTCAAGATTTTATAGTAAATAATAATGATGATAAAAGTTCTACTCCTCGCCGTACAAAAAGTAGTTTGAGTAGGAAAAGATCTATTCGTCAAAAATCTCTTGATAATAGTTTATCCAGAACTTCTACAATGAACAGTAATTCATTCTCTGAAATTTCTGAAGAGGATCTTAAAGAATCTGGTACAGATACCACTGGTTGTTCTTTAAATCCTACAAAACGCACAAAGTCAGTTAAATCTTTAAGAAAATCATTCAAGAATTCTAATCAGAATAAAAATAATTTGACAGATGATAATAATAAAACGTGTGATGAACGAAACGATGGTACTATCGATGAAAGTAAAAAAGATGTTAACGATAGAAATAGTGGATATTCAAATTTTTACTTGGCAATGCCTAATGGACAGTGGAGGGTTAGAACCAGAACTGCTTCAAGAAAAATTACAGGTATTTTTGAGATTTCGATATAAGCTTTTTTTTTTAAAAAAATTTTTTTTATCTAACAATTTACAATCTTTTTTTTCCTTATGCAGGAACACATTTTATCGACATTCATTGTATATAGTAACTTCCAACCACATTCCTTTTAATACTGCTACAATCAAATTTTATTATCTCTAATATTAGTGTTTTCGATAATCCTAAGGAGGATATTTAGAAACAGTTGAGGACGTTTGATACGTTCATTACACATTTATACAAAACAACCTATTTTTTTTTTTTTTTGTAAGATAATGTGTTACTTTTGTTTTTATTTTTATTCTCCTTAATCTTTCTTTGTATTATTTTTAATCCAATTCTTATTTTCGGTTCAATTAACAAAACCGATACAGTATATAATATAAAATAATGAAATTTTTAAATAATTTTAAATCTTTTTTGTTGAAGGTATTAATAATTTTTCTGAGTGACGATTAACTATACGTCACTGATAAGATTGAACTATTGATTATTTATATGATTATGGATTATGAATGTTGCTAAGGGCTAATGAGAACAGGCCCCCTCCAGGGGTCTAGACACTTTTGCAGTAACGTGACCGTCACGTGGTGTGGCGTAATTTTTTGCTTTAGTTTAGG